GAATCGCGATCCCTATCTGTTCGATTTACTTCCGAGCTGTGACCCCTCTTACATTGTGTATATTGTCTGTGTTGTTTTTGATTTTGTGTTAATAGTCCCTTTTCGGTTTGTTTATCGCATTTGGGTTAGATTTATTTTTGCCGCTTTTTGCTTTTTGTTTTAGTTTGTTTGTCTCTGGTTTAAGTTTCTTGCTTGTTTCTACCATTTTTCACCCTTAGAATTTAGAAATTGGGTTGTGTTCTTTCATCATGAATACTTTTGGGGCTTAAAAAAGTGTAGAGATGATGAGATTATGGTTGTTTTTTGTGTGGTTCCCTCCCTCTATTTCTCTCTGTACATGATTTTCAATTTTTGATAGATATGGCTAGTTTTTGTTTTTGTTGTTTGATTTGTTTACTTATTCATTTGGCTTGATTTGCTAAGTTCATTGCTATGATGGTGTTTGAATTGTTAAATGTGTTTGGAATCAAAGTTGTTCATCGCCACCTCAAGTTCAAAAGCTTTAACAGGCTAAGTTTGTTTGTAATTTTTTAAATCAAGTTATGACTTGTGATAGATGCACCAGAGATAAATTTCTGATTAATTTTTTTGTTGCAATTTTCCGCATATTAAAGCTGAACAGATCACCCGAACCAAACCAAACCAAATTATATATCATTGGGTTAGCTTGGTTTGGTTCCAGTCACAAAATTTGAATTAAACTGAGTCATCTCCTGCATATTTTTTTTTCTTCTTATGAACAATCACCGTTATATGTACTGTCATCTCCACGGCCATGCTCTTCATCTGCTTCTTGTTAACATTTTTTGGTGGTGTTTTCCAGTCTTATCCACCATGACTAAAGAACACGCTAATTGGTCTCCATATGACAACAATGGAGGGTACTCTCTCTATCCTCTCTTCTCTGTTTAATGTACTATTTTACAATTATTATCTTTTTAATATTATCATTATTTGTAGATCTTGTGTTGCTGTTGCCGGATCAGACTACTGTGTGATTGCAGCAGATACGAGGATGTCCTCTGGTTACAACATCCTCACTCGTGATTACTCCAAAATCTCCCACTTGTACGCCATTTCTCATTCTATACAATTTATTTTTAAAATTTTAAACTTTGCTGAAACCCAATTCTTTTTGTATTATTGCAAAATTGAGTGGTGTTAATTTTCTTGATCTCAACATTAGACAAAGGACACTCTTTTTTAGTTAATGTTGATGTTGAAGGATGTTAAATGTAAACTAAGTTTTTGGGGTTTGTGTTTTGTTGCATGACAGAGCTGAGAAATGTGTTATGGCTTCTTCTGGTTTTCAAGCTGATGTAAAGGCTTTGCAGAAGGTTTTGTCTGCTAGACATTTGGTGAGTCTAAGAGTCTCAATCCCTGTCACAGCAATATAAATAATACTTTTAGATTGTAAACATTTTCAGGATGACTTAGCACGTGGAAGCTTTGTTCTTTGTTTAATTTCCTTGTGTTTTTGTTATGTTTGCATACTTCACTATGTTGATTACTTCTTGGAAATCTATTCTTAAGAAGTTTGGAATAGAACTTTGCTCAGTTCAAAATTCTTTCTAACTTCTATATTTGTGACATGATTGATTTATAAGAACTGCATAAGAATAAACACTGACTGTCCTAGGGTTAATTTCACATGAGTTTCAGATATTCTGATTAGAAACTAAAAACTCAATGTTCTTAGTTATGCAACACTGGTATTGAATATTTGCATTAATGGTTTATTTGTAGGCTCCCGTGACAACCAAAGACCTTAGTATAATTGTCCTTTAAGTAAGTTTAAACTATAACTAACTTGGTATATAGAGTTTGTTAAATTGATCAATTAACACCAATCATGACATAATGCTTATCCTGTATTAAGTTTTAAGGATTGAGATTGACCATTCACCCTATACTTGTTTTAATGTTTTGGACAAAAATATTTTTAGATCTCCCTTTACCTAAAGTTATTGGACTATATTGGTCAACCCTCATTTGCAGTGTAACTATATACACATGCCCACACACCATGCCATCTTTTCTATGTAGAAGTTAGCCTCTGCTTGTTTCCGCGTCCATGAGGCTAAAAGACGTTTGACTGGCCAATGTTCCTAATTGGAACCTCTTACTTTTTCAAGTTTTCTTTGCATAGGGACGCGATAAATACCTTTCAAACGGGTCATCAAACACACACTTAGTGTTGGACTTTCCTCAGTCTGTCCCGTAGTTCTTTTTTGGAAATATTACTTTGCGACATAACTAATCTTGGAGTTAGCTCAATGTTTATTTTAAGAGGTACGAATAATTGAAAAGTTTTTGGAATGTTTTGCTTGATTGATTTGATGATAATTGCATTGCACCATTTATCAAAGCTTTTAGCCTTTTTATCAACATATATAACCTGATTATTTATGCTGTCAGATGTTAGTTAGAAATTTAGTGAAAATTGTGTTGTTTGATTCATAAATTGTTGCGTTCTTCTGGTTGAAATGACATTATTGATTCTGAATGCAGACATATCAGCACCAACACAACAAGCAAATGAGCTGCCCTGCAATGGCTCAGCTGCTTTCAAACACACTTTATTACAAACGCTTCTTTCCTTATTATTCTTTCAATGTGTTGGGTGGCCTTGACAGTGAAGGTGCACTATTTCCAGCTTTCTATTCTTGTTCATATCCTATTTTGTATTTGCTCACTCAAACTTCTACTTCAACCTAAAATAGGAAAGGGATGTGTCTTCACATATGATGCTGTTGGTTCCTATGAGAGGGTGGGATATAGCTCTCAGGGTTCTGGATCAACTCTCATTATGCCTTTTCTTGATAACCAACTGAAGTCCCCCAGCCCACTCCTTTTGCCTGCCCAGGTGAAGTTCTTAAATTGGTGTTTTTGTTGAAATATTTGATCGCTTAAATCGTGTCTGAGTAAGCACCTCTACATTAAAATATGATTTTTTTTTTTTGCAGGATGCTGTTACTCCACTATCTGAAACTGAAGCAGTTGATCTGGTCAAAACTGTTTTTGCATCTGCGTCTGAGAGAGATATATACACTGTAAGTTTGTTTACATGTGAAATTGGATTGTCTACCAGAACACATTCACACTATTGCGGATTTGAGTCGTTCAATCTTTATCAAACAATACACATTTAGACAGTGTTTAAGGCCTGTTTTGAAAAGCTGAATTGCGAGCTGTCTTATTAAAATCTGGCAGTGGAAATCTCGCAACTGTGTGAATGCAGGATTAAGAAAATTTGGGTTCTTTTACATGATTGTCATTTGACATTAGGACAAGCTCTAAACTTACTTTGGATGTATGTTTTTATAGGGGGATAGAGTTGAAATTGTCATCTTAAACGCCAGTGGTATTCATCGTGAATTTTTGGAGCTAAGGAAAGATTGAAGTCTGTACTTAGACATTTATGTTCATGATAGACTTGTACTTGAATGTTTGGAGTGCTTCTAAATTCTGAACGTTGTCAGGGTTTTCACTAGCCAAAAATTCAGATTTGCCTTCCAATTTGAACAATTTCTAGTCTGCTGACATTGTAACTAGACTGTGCTTTTTTACTTTATATCTGCATTGGATGTTCTCCATTCCTTTATTATGACACTTCCATCATTTATATGTTTAGTAATTTTGTTTGTCACTTTATTTATGATCCTATTGTCATCTTCTATAACATATTAAAGGGCGATTATACTAAAGGTCCTTTGGTCACCTCGAGAGCTTGTAAATAAACCTGTCTAAGAGATCAAATGAAGCACAATAGGTTCTACATTTTGAAGTTTGAAGTATCACCGCCAGATGAAAACAAATATTTAATTATTTTTATTGATGAACATAAAAGAATGTTGCGGTTGCTGTATACTATCAAATTCAAGAGTATGCCTTAAAGAAATTTGGGTCGTTTTATATCAATGTTGGCATAAGACATCAAGTTTCTTCACTCTACCTCTGATCATGATGGTCTAGCAGGAGAAGAAAACACAAGGATAATAAACATGGTCAAAGTTTAATCTAGACATATTTTTTCATATCCTAATTTTAATCTGAACATTTCCTTTATGCTCTTATCTTTATTTTTTCAAAACAACTTATAATAAAAAACGGATCTTTATTTTTTCAAAACAACTTATAATAAAAAACGGATCGAGTTTGATATGTAGTAAATAGAAGTTAACAAGGTTTTATTCTTCCATGCACAACAATCAAGAAAAACGGATCGAGTTTGATATATAGTAAATAGAAGTTAACAAGGTTTTATTCTTCCATGCACAACAATCAAGAAAATAGAAAATTTTAATTCTCATGCTAAAAATTATTTAGATTTATCATTGCCAAATCAATTATAGAAAACTATAAGACATGTTCATAGATTTTACCTTGAAATTTATGGAAGTATTCTAACATTTCTTTCACCATGTTTTGATGGTTTGTGGGGGTACAAGTGGTTTTTGGTATGCACTCACTTCTAAAATTCATAAACAGTAATTACGGTGTCATATTTGAAACTTGGCAATATATGATATAGGACTTCTGTATAATGTTTGCAAGAAAATTTAACAATGAGTAAGTATAACAAAATTTATGTGGTTCATCCCATGTTTTTTGGGTACTAAACACACAAATTAAGAATGAACAAAAGGTTGATTTTCTATTTGAAAGATAACACAGAATATAAATGAAAAAATGACAGATGATATGCTTTCATCTATATTAATTTGTGCTGGCTCGTACTTTCCTGCAAGTCATCATTTTTCTTGGGTTATTTGAGAGAAAACCAAATGTCTAAGTACATTTTAATTTTAGATGTTATTGCATATGGTATAATAATAAGTTATTGTCACTAAAAGAATTTTGAATTTCTAAGTTACAGAGGAAAAGAATTTGGTTGGGACCTGGGGGTATAAATAACAAATTTTTATTTACACATCCTGCATTTTAGAACCAGAAAAAAAAAAATACATGTACAATGAGACAGAGACATTGGATTAACATTAAATTTTTGGTGAAGGTTTGGTAGTGTCTGGATTAAGAAGCCTCTGTTTGATGGGGTCTTGTACGGGTAAATTGGCGGGTAAATTAGTTTTAGATCGCTCCGCTTGAGTTGCGTGTATGAGAACTTCCATAACAACAGTGACAACGACCATGAAAAGCACAGTAAATGCGATGCCTTTCCATGTGGAGAGTAGTGAAGTACATTGGAAGAATTTAACAAGAAGAAAACCAAGGAAACTTGACCAACAAGCCACAACCTGCAGTAATTCAATTGGAATCATATTCATCATTAAAATTTATCATAGATGAATTCAATCATTCACTTTACGCCGAAACTTACAAATATTGATCTTTTAGGCCGACGGGTTTCATGAAGTTCTAGCTCGCTGAATATCTCTGTTGTATTATATTTCTCGAGTAAAGCATCCTGATAAATAGTTGAGGAAGTAAAAAAGAATAGCACTTAACCGACAAATTTTCTACTACTAGAACATATAAGAATCTACATTACCTTGGCAACAAAAGCATCTGTGCACCATTGTGCAATGCCTTCGGGTGTTTCTGGAAGTTCCTCTACTCTATGTCGTTGAATTTGAACTTTCACCTGCAAAAGAGCATAGCAGCATAAATATATTTTTAGATTGAGAAACTGGTAACTATAACAACATTTAACAAGACATTGCTTTTTTATCGTCAGGCGAGGTTTTCAATTGTCTTACCGAGGAAGGAATGCCTTTAAAAATTCTCAGCAGTGTAGGTGAAGGCTCACCCTTTGGAACTGTAAATGTGCAATCGTAAATGGCTGGAATGTATGTTCGCGTTTCTTGTACAATCGTCACAAAACCCTGGAGAAAGATCATCAACAACGAAAGATATCAACTAATGAAACAAAATCAAGGTGTACACATTCTCATTTTCTTCTAACCAAACAAACCCTAATTATCAATGCTGTTATAACCTTAGTACGAGGAATCAGAACATTTTTAGGTACTGTCATCCCTCTTGAAATTGCAAACTCTTGAGCTGCCAACAGTTTTGTGTGTGTAAATCGAGTTCCTTCAACGAACAGAGCCACCCAAAAAGGCACTGGTTTGTGTTCAAGTTGCTTAAATCGCGACTGCCAACAAAATTTAATTCATTCATAAATACAAAATTCTAATAACAAACTTTACGCTTATCACACGATTAATTTGGATTTAGTTCAGTTACCTTCAATGTTTTTTCATCTTTAGCCCAATTTCTTTCTAGAAACAAAAACTCAGCAAACCACATCGACCAACCTATAACCTACATAGATTCAACATTGCGATTTCATCTAACCAAACACCTTAATGCAATTCCAAATTTACAAACAACAAAGAAGGATTCAAAGAAACACACAGGCAGGTATTTAAATTCTTTCTTCATAACAGCGACAGTGCTCCCAAGACAACCCGTGCGCTGCGCCAAAACCCATCCAATAAGCCAATCAATATCACTCCTGTGATTACATATCAAAAGTGCATTTTCTTTACCTGAAATTTCAACAGATAAAATTGCAAATTTCTGAAAAGAATCATCTCATACCACTTAATTTTCAACAAATTAGTTATCAATCAATCACCTTACCCAAAAATTCAAATGTTTCTGAATCCGCATACAACTCAACCTAAAACCAAAAATTCCACAAATTAATAATTTATAAACAACAAATTAATACGATTTAATCTAATTAATCAAACTAACACCTTAACACCCGCCCACCAATCAACGAGACATATGAGCTCCAACCATAGCGACTCCGTAAGCACTTTGTTTACTTTTCTGTAACAATATTTCGAAATCGGACTAACAAACACAAACAAAACCCCCTGCAAATTCATATTAATAAATATATTGACGTAAGAACCTAAGAATCGCGCATCAATAATTCAGCATTTGGATGCAGATTTCAGTGAAACATATGGATATGACATTTATGATAACAATGTTGAATCTGAATTTATGAGAATGAATAAACGAACGGATACCTGAATGACATTGACGATGAGACCTGAAAGAATGAAAACGATTCCTACAGGAAGAATAACCATTGTGGCTGGGAACGCCATGGCATTCTATAACGAAGATTGAAAAGTGTTGTGATTTGTGAAATTGTGATGAAGGAATGAATGAACAGGTGTGCCACGCTGGGTTATGGAAGGAACTTGAAATTGAAAAATGATTTAAATGTTTTTATGGATATTTCCATTTTGGGAAGCAATAATGTTAGTTTTATTTAATTGCAATTCTACGGGTGCTACTATTTTTAAAATAGTTTTTATTATTTTTGATGTGTTGATTTGTCTTTCAATAAAAGTGTTGTTTGAAAGGGGTGTCTTAATTATGATAACAGATAGTGATATCGATCAAACAAATGAGTCAATACCACGTGGAAATGCTAAGTAGCTAAAGACTGTTATCAAGCTTCAATGAATGTTTTTGGTGGATATTTTATTTAGCCACTTAATAACAACTTTTGAATATTAGAGGTTTTTTCCCATTTATTCGTTGTTGACATTGGTCAAGCCATCTAAATTGTTGTTCTTAGATATTTTTATAGAAGGATAAGAAGTTAGTATTGGGAAGAAGAAAGTAAATCTGATTGAAAAGGGATTTGTAAAAATCTTTTTTGAAAGATGAAATCGAGTGTTCCAAAATTTCACGATGGATGAGAATTTTTCAGGAATTGTGGAATCCTTGGAGGAGGTGCTAGTCATTAAACTCCTTAGAAAGAACGTTGTCTACCATTTGATGAAGGATAAGTTGAAGAAGATATGGAAATTTACTGAAGAGTTTGAGATCATGGACGTTGGCAATGATCTCTTTATACTCAAGTGTGAACTGCTCGCGGATAGGGAGAAAATTGTGTCAGAAGACCTGTGGATGTTGTTTGACCATTATTTGGCAGTGACTCGATGGACTCCAGACTTTGTATCTCCTCTCGCAAAATTAGAGAAGACATTAGTTTGGATTTGATCTCCATGGCTTAACTTATTGTATTACGATGAAAGTGCCATTCTTGGTTTGACATTTGTTGTGGGCGCTCCTGTTAAGGTAGATACTAATACCCTGAATGTAGAGAGGGGAAGGTTGTGTGGAGATTGATTTGACCTTGTCAGTTATTGAAAAGATCGATGTTAATGGTCACTGGTACAACGTGCAATATGAAAGTCATCACATTATTTCTTCCAACTGTTTATATTATGGACGTCACTCCTGTGATAGTAAGAAAACACCACATAATCTGACACAATCAGTCGTTCCTACGGTGGCGCAACTAAGAGGTCCGCTGAAAAATGATGATGTCCATTAGCAAAGACTTACAAAACTGCATCAGGAAGTGGGTGATGATTGCGTTGAAATTGTAGCAAAAGAATATGGAAAAATAAATGCGGCCCACGATGATTGGCTAGTAGTGCAGAGAAAAATGCAACAAAAGTGTCAGTTATAGTCTAGGGAAATACTTTATTCAATAATGCCCCTAGAGGTCCAGGGAGTTTTAAAATCAAGGAGACTGATGTTTCATTAAAAGGAATAAACGTTGACAACAAAACTATTGGACCCGATCAACTTGACACAGTTTCCAAGAAGCGATGATTTGATAAGTGTGAATCCATCCTAGATGCACGTCATCCAACACGCAGAGGGGACCCACACACAAAGGCCAAGTCTTCCATTTTGGAACCACGTCATGCTATTAGTGAGTATTCGTATAAAACTAGGCCAACTTTTAATTCCTGCCTGACACAAAAGGGTGTGCCTAGCATTTCTAAATACACCTCCATCATTCCTATGATAAATTTAGGTTTGGAGACCATCACACAATATGACATTTCACATTTTGAACCGACGACAAGTCAGGCAGATGAAAATAACCAATGCACTATGGATGAGATTGTTACTCAAGAAGAGGAAGTTGTTCGTGAAACTCCCATTGAATAGGAGCCTACTACGTAAATTGTCTCGAGTCTGAGACTTGTTTGTCACCTCCTCAACTGGAAAGGTTATGTTAGGTTTCAAAGAAGTTACCCTGATCTACTAGAATATTCGGGGAGCCTCTAATAATAAGGCTAAAAGACACACGAAAGATTTGATTAGAAAACGCTCTCCAACATTGATTTTCATAAGGCCAAATCTTTTTGGGACAGAGCTGGATATATTAGTGTTCACTACATGGATGCACATGATCAATCTGAGGGCATTTTGGTGTTAAAACATAATGGTAGTAACATTGTAACAGTCATGCATGATGCCTTTATGGATACAATTACTATCAAGTGATCATTGGGAACTTCCTCTAGGTATGTAACTAGAATTTATGTTGATCCGGTGTCCACTTCTCGTCTTGTCCTATAGCTCCACTTCATTTACTGAAGGAACACTATTGATGAGCCTTGGACGTTGATTGGAGACTTTAACGACATCATTCATCCAAGTGAACAAAAAGGAGGTAATATTAGTTATTATAGGGTAGCTTATTCATTGAATTTCATTGATAAACTAGTAAGATACACGTGCTCTTGCACGGGTAAAATTATTTGATACGGTATCAAATATATTTAATGTACATGTAAATTTGGTACGTACCTAAATTTAAAATTAGCTAATAGTTTTAAAATGAACAATGATTATATTTATACAATTGTATTAAAATACAAAAAGAAAAAAAAGGACTATGTGAGATAAAAAAAAATTAAATATTTGATAATAAGGATTTTATCTTTCAAACTAAGATAATTATTGATTAAAATAAGATATTTATTGTGCTTATAGTTACCCGTAAAATAGAAAGTTTATTTGATACACTATAAAATGTATTTATATAGAGATGCAAATTTTAAATAGTTATTTAATTGTAAATTGAAAAATAATTATACAATCTAAATTGTATTAAATGGTCATGCAAAAAGAAGAAAAAAAGGATTTGTGAGAGGAAGAATGCAACACCCCAAATTTAATCGAAATATTTTAATTAATTTATTTAATTGAGAATATTCGTATTTTGGGTGTTTTCGATGTTTTGTGAAATTATTGAGAATTATGTAATTTGTGGGTTATTTATTTAATTAATAGTATATAATATTAATTTATTAGTATTATTATGAATTAAAATAAAGAAAGGTAATTGGAACATTTGAGAGGAATAAGTGAGGGCATTATGAAAAAAGCCCAATTATTTGACCCAAGTCTAGGTTTAACAAAAATATTCATTTTTTAAATTTTTTTAAAAATTTAAACAAATCTTTGGAGGTGTTGAACACATAACCTTTTATTATCAAATACTAATATTAATACTTTACCACCAGACTACACATTCCTTTTATTTAAAGATTAGCATAAACAATATAAAAAATATATATATTATTAACGTTAACATTAATAAAGCATTCCTGCTATAATTAATGTTATAACTATTGTTACATTTAACGTTATTATATATATTATTACATTTAACGTTGTTATATATTGTGTATATATATTGTTACATTTAACGTCAACATATATTGTTACTATTGCTACATTTAACGTTAATATATATTGTTACCACTATTGCTACATTATTGTTATAAGCATTACTTAATAAATTAAAATTATTATATGATTAAGCTGAAGTTAATTAAAAATAATTTAATTAAAATAATTTTAAATAGTTTATTAAAAACTTTAATATTAATATACTTTAAAACGTATATATTTATTTATATTTATTAAAATAATTATATGTTATATTAATTTTAAAATTTTTAATATTCTGTAAATTTTATTTATATCTAGAAATTTTTTACGTTAATATAATTTTATAATTTTACTGTCAATTATATACTTTAAATTTATAATTTTATATATACGTTTTTAATAATTTTATATATTAATATACGTTTATAATTTTATACTATTTATTTGTTTTAGTTTTTTGTATTTATGTAAGAAATGTAACCATGCTGCAATATAGTTGTGGCATTTAAAAATTGAAATAATAATACTACAAGATATGCATGTAACGTAACTAATATATATAGTAATATATATATTTATTAAATGCTAAGAATAATATATTAATATAAAAGTTATGATAAAAGATATGGGTAGCTAAGTGGTAAGATTTGATAGTTGATGTAAAAGGTCATGGTTCAACATCTTTCAGGACTATTTTTTTGAATTTTGCCATTTAACACCAAAATAATATAATAATAATAATAAAAATGCCACATGGAGTTTAAAAAATAAAAAATAAGCTTAGGTGTCATTTTAAAAAATGAAATAAAAATGTCATTAATTTGATATATATGCACTTGGCACATGTCAGATCTTCCAAAGGTGTATATTGATGGAATCTTGAAATGGTAAAGGTGCATTTGCAAATTTTTTTTTAGGATAAACCGAAAGTCGCTTATATGGCAGGGGTAAAATGGTATTAACCCAATAGATTATATTAGTATTTTTAGTGATAATAAATAAATAGAAAAAAATTAAAATGAAAGTGAGAAAATGTGAAAAAAAAGAAACGTGAGAGATATTTGAAATTTGAATGAAAAGAGAGAACGAATGTATGTAATATTTAATTGTAATTTAATTGGTGGAGGTTGATAAACGAATGTCACTTTTCATTATGTAATAAGAGATGAGATTGAAAAAAGTAAACATTGGTTGATTACTAAAATACTCTTTTGTTAGTGTAAATAATTTGTGATAGAAAGAGAAATTTTGAGAGTTCATGCAATTAAATTCTAATAGATAGATAGGAAATGTAGTTTAGTTTAAGTAGACATGACTGGTGGGAAATTCATTTGAAATAAGTCTTGTACTAGTAATTGAACTGTCTATTACAAGCTGGACAAGACCTTGTTCGACGTTGCTTGGCACATGGATTTCACTGATGCATAGTTGAGTTGTTGTGTAAATTTGATTATGATCACAACCTAATTCTCCTTAGGTGTGGCCTTCCCATCCAAGACCATGGACCACATCCTTTTAGGTTTAAGGCAATTTAGATCACTCACCCAGAATACTCCAATATAGTCTAGACTGCTTCGAGGAAATCCTTAGATGGCATTGTATCTTGTCTCCAAAATGTGCAGCAAAATTATATCTTTTTTACTAAGGAAACTTTTGGCAATATTGAAGGGGTGAGAAACACAAGAAACAGGGGTTTGAATTGGGTTTCACCAAAAATGATCTTTGCGGAAATTCAAACTTCAATGCTAACAAGAGAATAAAAATAAATAGAGACGATTATTTTTATCCTGATTCACTATTAACAAAGTTACTTCAGTCCATCCACCAAGGTGATTTTGCCTTAGACAAAGACTTAATCCAATAATCTCAACATATTACAATCTCAAAGTAAATGAGTAGAAGCCGAAGCTCTACCATGACATAAAATCTTAGATAAAAAGGTATATTTGATATTAATTGACCGTTAATGGTCGGTTAGACGTTAAGATATTGACGTTAAACATATGCTGGATATGAGGCAACTCATCGACCTTAAGTAATTTTAGTTAATAAATAAGGAGAAAAATAAAAAAGGAAAAAAACTAATGGAATGTGAGTGATATGATGAATCAAAAGTATGCATTAGAGGGACAAGTTTTGGCTTGTCTAAATCGCATCACGATTTGAAGTAATTGTAGCGCAATATGAAGAAAGTATTAAGATGAAAAATCTATGTTAATATTGGGTCCTAGTTTGGAGTAATCGTGGACCCATTTGACCGTTATTTTGGAAATCACGGCGTGATCAATGGAAATCATGGCACAATATGACCGTTTTGAACAATCGTGGTATGATTTAAGGCTATTGTGGTGTGATATGACAATTTTTTAAGGCATAGTGGGATGATTTATGCGATCATGGTGTGATTTTGTATGCTTCTATAAATAATATTTGTGTTCTAGTGTTTTTCTACTACTATCGTCTACAATTATTCACTCCAAACACCCTAATCTTTGAAATTACACGTTCACTTATGCATCATCTCACTTCTTTCACTACCAACAACCAATGGCTCCAAAAAGAGTTAATATTTCCAAATCAGGTGTTACAAGAATTATCAATGCACTTTCTTCATTCATGGTTGAACCCGCCTATGTAAAATTATATTTCGTTGAAGTCGGAGTAATATGGAATATAATTAAAATGCAAAAACTTAATGGCGAGTGATGGAAAAATTACTAGCATGTGTACTAGTGTTGTTATCGAGTAATAAAATAATTTCGTCTCCACAGAGATTGCGGACTTAAAACAATAGATATTGTGCGATGTAAATAAAAGTAATAATGGGGGGGGGGGGGTTTAAGCTTGTTTTGGTCGAAAAAACAAGAAAAGATTTTTATAATGATGATGAGAAAAGCGGTAAAATCACATTATAAGAATCCTCTATTTCTACTTGATTGGTGAAACACACATTAATAGACATGCGCTAACTATAGAGTTACACGAAAGACCAACTCTACCACTACACCCAATCCTTTGGCGTGTAGCTCACTACTCTAGGCGTCAACTCCCGATCCCTCAGGCCAATTGTCTTGTCAGATTAGGCAACAAAGTGCGTTAGTCAATAATTTACAATTCCTAATCATACTATCCCTAGCCAATTAGCGAATATAATAGTTAAAGTAGTTCAGATAAATAGCCCAAAATTCAGTAGTCACTATTTATTAATATCGATTTGAATGTTGTAACAATAAAAAACAATGCGTACAATCATTGACTGAATAATAATAATAAGTCAATACAATAACATTAACATCATTCGATCATATCTCTCAATCAAGCAAAAATAGGTTCATAATCAAATTTGACATAACCTAGAGAAATCTAGCTACTCCTGCTGAAATTAATCAATACCAATATTTTAATTCAAAGAGCATGAAAAATCATTGAAGAAAAAACTCTCCAATGGCCTCAAAAAGCTCCAAAACCGCTCTAAAACGTCACTTTCTAGTCCTTGTAGTCGAACCTCTATTCTCTCTCTCTCTCTCTCACTCTCATAAAGTCGCTAAAAAACGTGTCAGAAAAATAGATACAACGCGGGCGCATTGTGCCATCATTAATTCAACGCGGGCGCATTGTGCCATCATTAATTCAACGCGGGCATGTTACTTTTCAGTGCAGGCGTGCTAAAGGCAGGGTGAGTGTGTTATAGTCGCGTAAAATCCAGGGGCTTCAACGTGTTTTTGATCCCCTTTTCACCAAATTTCTCACCAAGTTCCTTTCTTCACCTAAAAATGCCTTTTCTAACTTTTCACTTAAATGCTTATAATTTGCTCAATTGTTGTCAAAATTCGACGATTTTTCTTGCTAAATAATGTGCAGAGATAACCCATCATCAGTGAGCGCAAATTTGAGATTAACGTTTTGTATGACTATATCCAACTATTTTTGATGTGATTTACCAAAGAAAATGGTTGAAGTTAGTTAAATGACATGGAAAAGTAATCAAATTAATCTATCATGCTCATGTTCTTTTCAATTCTTATAATCCAGGTACATCCTTTACATCCTTTGTCTGCAGGAAGAAAATCAATTAAGGCACAATAACCATTAACAATCTTCTTGGGTTGAATCCTATCTAAGATTGTGCTATGGAAATAAGGAAGGAAATGAACAATTCCCCCAAGGCGAGGAATGTGATGAGATCCTAGGTGAAGTTTGTCGCGAATGAGTGAGTTGGGTCCAAAAATTAGGTATAACACAACCCAATTACCACTGAAAATATGAAGTATATTCCTAATGCATGAGTGTCTTTCTTCAACTCTACTTTGGAAAGTGTGTCTATCACATTATAATTTATTTTGAAGAGGGTTTTCGCACTAATGGATCTCTTAAGGGTAATTAAATAAGCATAGACATCTAATTGTTAGGAGTTTAAAGTCGTTGGCAAAACTCTAACACTATGGTGTTAGGACATTGTTGTTCCATCACCATGATTTGTGATACTCAATAAGTCTCACACGAGACAAGAAACATCATTCTTCCTCGAAAGATCCTTATGAATAAGACATTCTGAATGGATTGGATAGAACATCGGTACACCAATAAAGAAACCATAAAGCAGAACCCCAACCTATGGAGCACGAACAACCCATGCCTACACTAGTCTACTCTCAATCTGATAACTATACTCTAAGTATAATAAACTAGGTAAAAGATATATGTGAGATCATTTATCAAGACCTTTCTATTCTTGAACCTTTACTTCAATCGACAAAAGTTCCATATAAACAAAAACACGACGTTTACAACTCTTTGAATGGTTTCAGGACCATAACCAACATGAAAATCTATTTTGAGTGGAAAAGAGCCACTCATCCAATGCACTAGGTGGCACGTTGAAATGAATTTATTTTATTTTCTATTTTCAATTATTTTACATTTAAACAATTATTAAAATTAATATTACAACTCTAGTATTCCATTAGGAAAAAAGCTATAGTATTATTAATTTGTTATTCACTATTCATTTATATAGGTTTTTGGTGGCAGCATTCGAACTGCGTTTTCTTCCCGAAACCGAGTTCACCGCCACCTGCACCTAGCACCACCACAATCCGCCACTGTTTAACCTATCGCCGTCGAGCAGAAGAACTCTCTAGAGTGTAACAATGGCAACAACCTATCACCAACCCACCACAATAGAAGAAGTCCGAACCCTATGGATTGGGGATTTGCAATACTGGGTCGACGAAAACTACCTCACAAACTGTTTCTCCCACACCGGCGAAGTCATTTCCATCAAAATCATCCGCAACAAAATCACCGGTCAACCAGAAGGTTACGGTTTCGTCGAATTCGTTTCTCACGCCGCAGCAGAACGAGTTCTTCAAAGCTACAACGGGACTCAAATGCCGGGAACCGAACAAACCTTCCGGTTAAATTGGGCTTCGTTCGGTATCGGTGAACGCCGTCCTGATGCTGGTCCCGATCACTCGATTTTCGTTGGGGATCTTGCTCCTGATGTCACTGATTATCTTTTGCAAGAGACTTTTCGAACTCATTATAACTCTGTTCGTGGTGCGAAGGTTGTGACTGACCCGAATACGGGGCGTTCTAAGGGTTATGGTTTTGTTAAATTTGCTGATGAGAGTGAAAGGAATCGCGCTATGTCTGAAATGAATGGTGTTTATTGTTCTACTAGGCCGATGAGAATTAGTGCTGCTACGCCTAAGAAAACTACTGCTTATCCGCAGAATCCTTATGCTGCTGTTGCTGCAGCTGTTGTTGCTCCTGCACCTGCTCCTAAAGGTAGAACAAAACTTACTCTTTCATAATTAGGTTTGTTTTCGATAAATAATTTGATTAAGAGCTTATGATGTTAGTGTTTATGTAATGTATATATTATTTAGCTTTTCTTAGTTAGCATAAGCTCAAATAAGCCAATCAAACATACCCTAGATGCAATATGCTTTTTACCTTCCTGACTACAAAACATTCAACAACTAGAGGAAAATAGACTTAGAGGGTTTGGGCAGGTAGAGAGAAGACCGGTAGATTATGTGGTAAAGAGAGAGGATCAGATGGAGAGATGTCAAACATCTAGAGGAAGAGAAAAGACCTAGAAAGGTTATATGAGAAATTATTAAGAAAGATCTCGAGATTAACGATTTGAATAGAAATATGGTTCTGGATAGAACATTATGGCGAAAATTGATCCATGTAGCCGACCCCAGTTAGTGGGATAAGGCTTGGTTGTTGTTATTTTAAAACATTCAACAACATTCTATTTTATGTATAGTTTTAATTTTCTTTCTTGACTGATTTAGAGTGTAAGAAATTGAACATGATTGGTGTTACTATTATAGTTAGGTGTATTTGGATGATGAGTTTAATCAAGTAAGGGCTTATAGCATAAACCCCTTTTGTGTAAGGTTTTATGTTTAAGTTATTTCTATAACAAAAAAAGTTGTTTCATATAAGCTAAGCTATCTTGGATAACTTGAAAAAAACCGGAATTGGCTTATAGACATGTCCTATGTTGTTTCCGTAAGCTCTGTCGAACAATCTTACAAGGGTTTATGTCGGAAGATAAGTTCAAATCAATCAATGCAAATGGCCTTACTTTTCAATGCTACATGCTTTTGAGCTTGTCCTTAGGAGTTATGACTTATGACCATAACATTCAACAACATTCTATTTCAGAGTTTTAATTTTCTGTCTTTACTGATTAAGAGTGTAAAAAATTGTATATCATTGGTGTTTGTTACTATATAGTTTGTACTTGTAAATGGGTTTTGGCCTGAAGACTTGCACTTGTAAATGGGTTTTGGCCTGAAGACTTGCACTGTTATGTATAAGACTGTTTGATAAAAAGTTAGCTGTGTTCTGATTGGTAGAATTGTACTAGTTCTTGTTGTTGAGATTATTTAATATACGATGGAATGGAATTTATGTTCAATCTCATTCCGTCCATTATCTCTATTTTTCTTCTCTTGATTTGGGGTATAAGATGGAACTAACTTGTTGTTTAATAATCTCTTTCTCAAACTGTGGAAAGAAAGCTTTTCCTCTTTTTCTATGGTAAACATTGGTATGGTAATTATTCCATTCCATTTTTTCTTATTTCACTTATCATTTGATATCTAACATAAGCCGTGGTAGCTTCTAATAATTTTATGCCTTTTTTTTTTACCAAACCAAGGTTATGCAATCCATCAAATTTCAAAAACTGCCATTCGTGTAGATATACATTTCATGATGATGCGACTAGAACCCAACCTTACTAGGAAAAAAACCTACATTGGAAGTTGAACATTTGATATATATTTTTTTTAGTTTTCTAATATTTTGATTTAGTGTGTGTTTGGTACTGCAATAGAGAGAATTGAGTTTGATTTCAGCAGAATGGATTTCGGTTAAAAGTGACTTGTACGTAATTGATATATGTTTGGATACATTAACACAAAAGTGATTCTTATTGATGTTGTTTGGATAGTTTGTATCAGAAAAGAAAATGAATGGTCTTTTACATGTTACAGCCGGTTCTCCTTCATCCCTAACCTTTAGATAGAAGCTGTTGCAACCTGAAACACAGTTAATAAAAATTACAGGTCTGCAAATGACATGTTGAAAGGGGTAAAATTGATAGATCAAATTGTTTTGTTGGAGAATTGATCATGGTTAAATGCAGAAGCTAGGAAAAGATGCTTCATTTGGAATCAATTTTAATCGAAGTGAATCAATTTTTAAAACAAAATCCAAACATCTTTGCAGCTTCCTGAATTTCATTTTGACCCTTCAAAGGTGCATATGGTCATCCTCAGGGTGAAACCAAACAGGCATTTAATACAACTTACAAGTTAGAAGATGTACTTATTTTAGAATCCAATAATTGGATTCCAAAGAAGGAGCACTTTTACTAAGAAATAGGAGAGCAATCTCTCTTCTAAGGGTTTCCCCTTCATGATAGAGTTGCGGCTCTATTCACAAATGATTGCAATATTCAATAATAATAAACTCTACATTGTATTCTCCTGTTTATACAAATACCCTATGAATTGACAGCGTCAACCAATTAGCGTCAACCAATTAGCTAACTAACTTCTATAACCAATCTTAACTACTCTAATCGGTGTAGTCAAGATCGAATGCTGGATTGTAAGATCGTTTTTCGTCTCCGGCGTGGTCAAGATCTAGCTTTTTAAAGCAAGATCGAAATAAAAAAACGTGCTAGGTCTTTTCTTGGGCCCTAATTATGATTTTCATGTTTTTGTGTATGTCTGTATATGTGTATGAAATTACCCTTTCCCCCTTCTGTATGATCTTACGTGCCGCGTTAGCGATTCGAGTTTTACGATCTTTCACAAGCCGAGCGATCCTACTTCTCATGCTTGACTACATTGACTCTAATCAACCATTGTTCCATATTCTAATAGCTTATCTATGATCTCCTTTGCAGCAATATATCCAGTTCCAGCATACACCGCCCCAGTGAATACAGTTCCACCAGAGTATGATGCAAGCAACACTACCGTAAGTCTTGTAGCCCTAACATTTTTTAAATTTTCATTCCCTATGGGGCTTTTACATACTTCTGCAATGCAGGTTTATGTTGGTAATTTGGATCTTAATGTCTCAGAGGAGGAGCTGAAGCAAAACTTTCTGCAATTCGGAGAGGTTATTTCTGTCAAAGTACATCCCGGCAAAGCATGTGGTTTTGTTCAATTTGGGGCTAGGTCTTCTTTTCCTCCCCTAATCTCTTTCTAATCATTAAAATCTTTTTGTAAAATATTTCAAAATTGAACTAAAAAGAAAAGATTTTAATATGTTGCCTTTCAAAAAGAAATAAGTTTCCCATGACCCCATTTCACCATACATCTTGAGCTCTTTCATGATCTCTATACTTTTTCTTAAGCCTATTATGTGATGAATCATTTAACCTGAGCTCTTTCATGATCTTTCTACACTTTTTCCTTACGCCTATTATGTGATGCATCATTTAACCTTTTTCATATCTGGTGTCTGTAGAGCATCTGCTGAAGAAGCCATTCAGAAGATGCAGGGAAAGATAATAGGTCAACAAGTGGTCCGAGTTTCTTGGGGTAGGCCCCTAACAGCTAGACAGGTATTTTTCCTTTAGAGATGGTTACTTTCTTGACAAAATACTTATGCTATAACCTTGTGCATTTGCATATATCATTCATTTGAATTTCAGAAACTCTTTCGATGTGGAGTTGCAGATTTTGCATGTCATCCAACTTCCAGCATAATTTTTGTTGTCCTTTTTATGTTGTTCCATGCTTTAATGTAGAAATTTGTCTGTTAGGACATGTGTGAGAGATGTACCTAGATTCTTGTTCTACAAAACAACCTTGAGATTGTGAAGTTATGGTAACACGTGAATGGCCAATGTGGGACATCGAGAGGCCTTTACACATGCTAATAGTTAAAGAATAAAACAGGAGATGATGTCGTTGGAGTCGAATGTATAGATATGGTTGTTGATGTTTAAAATACTCAAGGTTATATATCAATGAGTTTTGATATCTCTGATTAGTTCAATAAGTAGCTCATGTTTAGAGTGTTATATTTGCTCTAACAAATTGTTGGCCCTAAATGAATGGTTCATGGTTGTAGGACTTACCTGGTGGCTGGGGACAACAGGTAGATCAAAGTCAATGGAGTGCATACTACGGGTATGGACAGCAGGGTTATGAGGCTTATGCATATGGGGCCGCTCAGGATCCTTCAATGTATGCATATGCCGGATATGCTGGCTATGCACAATATCCCCAACAGGTAAGTTATTGAATTTTAAAATCAGTTTACACATGGTAGTGGTTCTTATTTATTTAAGGCAATAGCTTTATTGGACTACACATGCTTGTAGGTTGAAGGTGTCCAAGACGTATCAGCTATGTCTGTGCCTACCATGGAACAAAGGGAGGAGTTGTATGATCCTCTGGCAATGCCCGATGTTGATAAGTAAATGTTTCCTCTTTCTTTATATAACATGGGAGATAAACAACTGAACTTGCGCATATATATTTCTTGTGTATTTCTGACACATACTTGATTGCTTTGCCAGGTTAAATGCTGCATATCTCTCAGTACACGGAAATGCCATTTTAGGGCGGTCTCTCTGGCACAAAACCTCATCCTTGCAGCAAGCTTAAGATCTACTTGTATCTGTACTTCATGGTTTTGTACTTCAACACACTCTGCAACTGCAAATGCAGCCATTTATTAAGTTGGGCTAGGTTTAAATTCATGTGACATGTCAATATCAATGCTTCTCCCATGTGGCAGTTGGCCGGTGTAAAGACATGACAAGTAGCATATCAGTAGACAGTAGTGTTTAATTTGATCGATCCCATTGATTATCTTGTGATTTATACCAATTAGGTAAAACTGAGTTATTATTAAAGGACAGAGGAAACATTGCTTGACAGAGAAACTCCAGCCTCAATTATGAGTTGATATATTTAAATGGTTCAAGTCATTTAACTAATTGATTTAAGGAGTACATAACTCAATAACTCATCACGTGTTCTATAGCTGTGGCCTGTCCTTATGTGGTGTTTTATATGTTTGTGGGGTTACATTGATAAAGGGATTGTCCTTATGTGGTGTTTTATAGCCTCAAGTGATTGCCTTTTCAAAACATAAATAAAGTGATAACAGAAGAATAAAAGATCCTTAATCCAAACCTTGCTTATCCAAGCCTTATCATACATGATCAATGAAAAAAACACACTTTGAATCTTTGATAGCATAGTCACAAACATAGACATACATAATAACTAAAACCTTATTATATGGTTGTCATAAAAATAAGCAAGTAATCAGAAAATGATTGGAAATCAATTACAAGCCATATATAATGAACGCTTTGATCTCTTCAAGCCCAGTACAGCAAAAAGTATTCCAATGTAGTTTAAATTGTAAGCTTCTTCAAGTAGTTGAAACTTGTTAAGACTCCATGGAGGAAACCTGAACCAAAAATCAGTGTAGTAACTTCTCCTAGCCACAGCTTTATAGTGACTGAACAAATCAAATGAGAACTTCCCATGATACTTGCCAAATCCACATTCACCAACTCCTCCAAATGGCAGGGTATCTGCCGCATACTGCACAAAAATAAAGCAGACTGATCAGACTCTATTTAGTAAAAATAACGGTTTGATAAAAAACTCATCATCGTCTGAATACCTGTAGAATTGCATCGTTGAATACAATACTTCCGGATGATGTTTCAGATACCAATCTTTTCTGCAAAGTTTTGTTTTTTGTGAAGGCATAAATAGCTAGAGTTTTAGCCTTTGAGTTTATGAACTCAATACTATCTTCAATCTTCTCTACCTGCAAAAACCATGAAATTAATAATTGAAACAAAAAAAAAAACAAACAAAATACTTAAGTTGTATATTCATCATACAGTAATGATGGGAAGGATGGGGCCAAATATTTCTTCTGTCATAATTGCTGAATCAAGTGGTGGATCCAGTAATATTGTTGGTTCAATAAATCTACATAATAATTCAATGCAAAATCACTTCAGATATGAAAGATAATCATGCAAACAAAAGTAAGAAAAGAGAGAGTATTTATTGATTACAGTTTATCATCTTCCATTGAACCACCAAAAACCACTGATTTTTTGACCTTAGGATCTTTAAGAAAACCTTTGATTCTGTTGGAATGATGTTTGTTAACTATCCTTGCAATGGTGTTAGAACCTCTTGGATCATCTCCAAACATTTTCTTAATCCCTTCCTTCAACAATTCCAGCTATAGAACAAAAAATCAAAGACATGCTTCAAAATCAAATATATACTAACATCACAAAATACTTCAAAAAATAGAACTATTTATTGCTTCTGTACCAATGTTAAACAGAATCTCTTTTCTACAAGAACATAATCAATCGCTATGCATGCTTGTCCTGCACAAGATCCATACTTCGCCACCAAGATTCGTTTCACCGCAACCTTATTATTCAAAAAAAGACATTCAGTGACACTAATAATCATATTACAACTATTTTATACTTTTACCGTGTAACTAAAACTCGATATATCGTACTATATGCTTGAACATTACATGTGAATATGTGATAACATTGAATGTGCTTGTACCTCTCTGTCCCAAGAAGTTGATAGTGAATCAACCAGTGCTGGACATTTTCCACCTAGCTCCAAAGTTACTGGAGTCAGATTCTCCACCGCGGCAGACATAACTAACCTCCCGACCCGCGCACTTCCTAAAAGAAAATAAAATTCCACTTTTTACTGAATAACTGATGTATCTGATCTGGTCTAATGAAGTAAAACAAGGCGGACCTGTGAAGAAAATCTTGTTCCATTTTTGTCGTAAGAGTATCTCTCCAACGTCTGGTCCACCTTCGACGATCTTAATGCCATTAATGTCCAAATAATTTGGTAGAATAGTGGCAAGGAGAGAGGAAGAAACTGGGGCCAACTCTGAAGGTTTTAGAACTACAGTGTTTCCAGCAGCTACAGCTCCGATTAATGGTTCCAAGGACAGTCCTGTCATAAAACCAATCATATATGTAACTATAGTTCATATTGTAACAGACACAACACAACCTTAAAATTTCGTTTAGATTTAATTTGTACACGCTAAAAGCGTATTCTGATAAAACATGATTTGATCAGATGCATGTGTAAAACTAGTACGCGCGCGTAGAAATGAGAAATGAATCTCTCGTATAAATTTTTACTCACCAAAGGGAAAGTTCCATGATGAGATTATAAGAACTAGACCAAGAGGTTCAGCAACAATTTCTGCACTTGAAAGTAGTGCAATTTGTGGCAGTTTAGCTTCTTTGCCAGCCATCCATTGTTTGAAGGATTTTATTGCCAAATCTATGGATTTCTTTAGAATTCCAACCTGCAAGAATAACATGAATTATTTAACTAAGATTTTATGTAAATATATTACTATGTTACTATATGAAGCAAACCTCATCTCTGAAAGCTTCAACATGGTGCTTCCCTAAATCCTTCTTAAGGGCCTTCAAGATTTTTTCTTCATTTTCAATGATAAAGTTACGCAGCCCTTCTAGCTGTGATTTTCTCCATGATGCTTCTTTTGTTTTTCCACTTCCATAATACTTTCTCATGTTGACTAGATCTTTCTCAAAACCTACTACTGAGAACTCCATGTCACTAATGTTTGAGAGTTGTGCACTAGAACAATGCAACTCTAGTGTATATATACACACTCTTTTAGGCCTTCATGGATATGATTGAATTGAATAATTAATTAGTAGTCATGTAAGTGTAGGTGGTAGCTACAAAGACTTGAAAAAAATGATTAGCTAGTAAAAGTAATTTTAATAAATAACCTTTGTCATTTCAATTTTTTTTTATGATGAGTGTGTTCCTTTAAGATTAGTGTTTTAAATTAATATATTATGTTTATGTCTCTTTTTATGAATTTTCATGAATCTCTGATATTAGATGTGTAATTTAGTTTTCTGTATGTGATTATTGATAGTTCAGTAAATAATTATTAATAGTTTAGTAAGTAATTATTAATAATAAAGTATGTGGTTAGTGATAGCTATATATGCGATTAATGCTAGTTGTGCATGTGGTTACTAATTAGAAATTAGTTAGTTAGTAGTATGATCCTATACGAAGGATGTAACACATGTTTGTAAAAATCTAATTCTTCAATTCAATTCCAATTATATATTCTTCTCTCTTTCATCACTCTCTACTTCTCTCTTTTATCATCATTTGCCAAGTAAATTGAGATACAATTTACCCAATAAATTGGTATCAAGAGTACCAATTTAGTCCTCAATTTTTAATCATGGTGAATGGAAGCACTACCTTCAACCAATTTTTAGCCAATCTACTAGTTTTCAAGGAAGAAAACTATGATAGATGGTGTGCACAGATGAAAGTCATATTTAGACTTCAAGATGTGCTCAAAATTATGAATGATGGTTTCTCGGCATTAGAGACAAATGCTACTGAGACACAAATGGTTACTCATCGTGAAAGGAGAAAGAAGGATGAGAAAGACTTGTTTTTTGATGCACCAGTGTGTGAATTCAAATATCTTTGAGAAGATTATCGAGCAAGAAACACCCAAGGAGGCTAGAGATACTCTCAAAAAACTATATGGTGGAGATGAGAAGTTAAAACAAGTGAAACTGCAATCTTTGAGGAAACAAAATGAGAACTTGCAGATGAAGGGTGATGAAACCATTTCTGAGTTCTTTTCAAAGAGGATTGCTTTGCCAAATGAGATGAAATCATGTGGAAAAAACACCTATGAATTGCAGAAGATGGAGAAGGAGAGCTCTTCTAGTCAAGTTTGTTCACATTGTTGTAGCCATTTAGAAGCCTAAAGACTCGTCACAGATGAAGCTTGAAGAATTGCAAGCATCTCTTGAGGCGCATGAGTTGAGGTTGAAACAAAGAGATTCAGGAAAGGTATCTGAACAAGCATTGCAGGCATAATTCTTCAAGAAAATGAAAGAAAGCCCCCCCAACAACAACAAAGTGAAAGCAAAATTGAAGAAGAAGTTGATGATAATGGTGATGTTGGTAAGGCTTCAAGAAGCCAAGGTGAAACTAGCAAGAATAATGCAATTCAGAATTAGAAAGTCAAGAAGAAAGTTGACATGAAGGAGGTTCAATGCTACTGCTGTCATAATTTTGGTCATTATACTAGAGACTACTACTTCAAAAAAGGCAATGGCCATGACAAGGGTATGGCTCAACTTGCTCATGCTGATAGCAGTGATGCTGGAAAGGTCATCTCGATGGCTGCAACACATTTATCTTCATATAAAGAAAATGTTTGGTACCTTGATACAGGCTGCAACAACCATATGACAAACAATAAGAACTAGTTTGTCAATTTGGATGAATCAATTAGAAGATCAATTTGATTTACATACAACATCATTGTGACATCAGAAGGAATGATAAATATTAGGGTGAGAAAGAAGGATTGATATGAAGCTACCATCAGTGATATCGTGTATGTTCCTTCAATGACAAGCAACTTGATTATTTATTGTCAATTACTTTACAAGAATTACATAATGAAGCTGGAAGGAAGAGAACTCAAGGTGTTTGATGAAATGTATAGGATAATTCCAAAGGCACCTTTGTCAACCAACAAGACATTCATGGTCATGATATATTTTCTTGATCATTAGTGCCTTGCATCAATCACAACTGAAGATAAAAATTGAGTTTGGACTAGAGATTTGGCCGTCTCAATTTTAGGAGTCTTAGTTTGATTCACACTAAGAAGATGGTGTATGGACTTATAAGGATTGAAGTGCCAAAGCCTCTATGTGAGGAATGCTACATAGCCAAGCAGACTAGGAAGCCATTCAAACATGACTTACCAATAAAGTCACAACAAAAGCTTGAGATTGTTGTTAACTGCAAATTTTGACTTAAATTGAACCATCTTTCTTTGTATTTTTTAACTTATTTCTCATGTTTTAATGGAATTATTTCTTGTTCTTGTTTGATTCTTCAACATATTGCAAATACCTTTGGATTCCTTGATGTGTGTGTTATTATGCAATGTATAGGCATAAAACATCAAAGATTAAGACACAATTGAAGTGGACAAGGAAGCAAAAGAAGAGAAGAGGAATCAGCATGTTCGCTGTGCAAACACCAGCGAGTTGAAAGCGAATGTTCGCTGTGCGAGGTCCTAACGAAGCCCCCAACAAACCAGCCTTAATTAAAGGCAGTAGGAAAAGGACCCTAAGTTCGTCGGGCGAAGCAGTAGTAAAGAGGTTCGTTGTACGAAGAAGTGCTCGCATGACGAACTTAGATAATTTCCAAGGGCGGTTTAACTGTTCCTGAGGAACTTGAACTGCCTAAAAGCGGTCTTCGCTGGGCAAATAAGACAAATTTTGTAAATACTATTTAAGCACTTTTCTCACTTTTTAGAACATAACTTGTACTTTTTGGGATCAGAACTATATCTCTCTTCATTCCAAACATGATTTTAGAGAGAGAAACAAAACCCTAAGGGGGAGAAGCCAAAATCAAAGAAACTCGGAGCTTGATCTTTGAGTAAGTGCTTTAATTTCTTGTTTGGTTTGGATGTAATCTTTTGATACTTTATGTATTTCATATAATCTATGTATTGTGAACTAATTTTGATTAAATATTGATGTTGTCTTTGATTTCTTATTTGTGGGTCTTGACAAAAACTTTTCAAATCTTTGATCTAAGATATTCATCTATCAATGAGCAAACTCTTGACATAGTCTTGTAAGTTGATATTCACTAGTATCACTTTTATTTTATTGTGTTGATTACTAGTATGAGTAGGATCAATACGGTAAAGACCACAATAACGCTTTTAACGCGAATGGTATTGTGAGGATGCATGATAATAGTGATGAAGAACTATGTTCACATACATTTGGGAAATTAGTTGAATGCATGTAAAAAGGGTTAAGTATATGTATGTATTCTGATCATGACGTTTTATGTGAATTAATCATGAAGATGGTATGGGGGTCATCTTTAGATACCTGTTAGGTTCTAGACATAGATTTAGGCTTAGAATTTGCATGAGTATTAGTTCGTAATATTCTGTGTTGTTGAGTTGCGTGAGACATCACCAATGAGGTAATACAGTTGTTCTCTCGACTTTGCGTTAGACATAACCTTGGCTGTGGGTGATACGTGAGGGTATTAGACGAATGATTGATTTGTGTTCAACTGGTTAGAAGAATGCATGTGTTATCAGTTGATGAAATCCAATCCCAACAAGACTCCGTTTATATTTCAGACTTTACTTTATATTTTCCATCTTTATATTTTCAGCCTTTATCTATTGTATCTTTGATCTTTCAACCCTTTTGTAACAATAAGCTTATAAATGTAGATATTGTTGAACAATATTCTTTCCCTCGTACTGATCCCCATGGAGACGATATAAATCCCGGAGGGAATCCTTCCAAATCTAAATTTCTGCTTCTTGCCACTTTACCGCAGTTCAAACAATTGTGAACTCAAATGTGTGTGGTCCATTTGAATTAAAATTATTAGGAGGTAAATTTTATTTCTCGGCCTTCATAGATGAATTCACTAGGCATTTCTCGACTTACTTGTTGGAAAATAAAAGTGATTTTTTTCAGCAGTTTCAAGAAATTTAAATTACTAGTTGACAAGCAAGTTGGACAAACCATCAAGAGGTTGAGAACTGATAGTGGTGGTGAGTATACCTCAGGTGAGTTTGATCAATTTTATGAGAAGGAAGGGATTTGTTAGAAAAAGATTTGGTTCTGCAAGATATCTCTAAGTTTTGATAATAACAAAGTGGTATTTGTGTGAGAACAATTTTGGAGCTCTAACGTTTGCTTTTCTGAAGAATTAGCAAACAGGCTCTGACTCTAATAAAGATCATATTCAACATTTACTATAATTTGACCAAAGTCACTTCCGCGCTATAAGAAGTGAGTTTGCTTCTAATCTACTCTACTTCAGAAAGATTCTAAGAAGACAATATGTTGCTGCTGCAATGTGTCGTAACTGTGAAAAGGGCTGGCGAAAACAAACAGAAGAGTCGCCACCAAATGTTATTTATCCCAAAGAGAGAGAAATGAAACTATCGAAGAAAACCTAAAAGAAAGGAGAAGACAAGGTCGTCGCAACCAAATCTTGAGTTTGGGAGTCAGTTACGCAAGGGGAAGGTATGAGCACCCATCACGTCCATTGTACTCAATGAGATCCACGCTTGTTGTCTAATCAAAGGGCAGGTCATCTAAAAGCTACTGCTAAGCAGGGTAGGGAAAAGAAAAAGGAGACTCGATAGGACATCGCCGCCCTATGCCTACATATTCCCTCGTGCAATGGGAAAGCCAAAGTCAACGTAGTTCGAAAAACCAAGGATGATGAGGGGAGGTTGCTCGCCAAGACATCGCCTTCTTATGTCTACGTATCCTCATCTGGTATGAGAAATCAGAGCAAACGTAGTTCGGGTAAACTAGACCACTGGTTGGTTAAGTTTTTTTTCTGAGCGACGTTAAGTTCCTATTCCACCAGTTAGGATCGATGCCTGTTTGCGGTAGAACGGAAAAATAATGTACTATTTCTGAAAATGATTTTAAAGAACAATCCCAAAGGATAAAAAAGGTTTGAATTTGATTTAAAGGTTTTAGAG